AACATCCACAGCTAAGCACAGTAAACTCCTCTTGAATTCAAAGGCCATTGGGTATATACCCATTGAGGTTATTCCCCACGCTTCTTTGAATTCCTCACGAGATGTTATTATTGAGAGAGATTTGAAGAACATCCCCGAGTCGAATATCCTCGCTTGTTTCTCCACCCAAGAAGTTTCTGCGATGCGTCGTATCTCCACTCGTAAAGATGGAATTATGCTGCCTACCAATGTTCACATTTTTGACGTTTTCATTGCCGCGTCTTCCTGCCACCGTCACCAAGTCTAGGGCAGAGCGATCACCTCTTTCCTTCCGGATCGATCGTCTCTATGACTATAATCGCCTCTTTACACTGGTGGAACTCAAACTTGTTCTTCATCGGACCTGATGATGTTCATTATGAGATGTTGCACCATCTCTCTCTTGCTATTCTTCTGGTTATTTTTAACCGGATCTGGCAGGAGAATGTTTTTCCTGATGCTTGGCGCCAGGCTATTGTCCTCCCTTTCTCTAAACCTGGGAAGGATCCCAAGTTTCTTTCTAATTATCGTCCCATCGCTTTGACTAGTTGTCTTTGTAATATCTTAGAGAGGATGGTTAATGCTCGTCCTGTTTGTTTTCTTGAAGCAAACATTCTCCTCTTGTCCACTCAGTGTGGGTTCCGTCGACAGCGCTCCACCGTAGACCATCTCTTTCGACTTGAAACGTCGATCAGGGAAGCCTTCCTCAAGAAAGAGCATCTCGTTTCTGTGTTCGTTGGTCTTGAGAAGGCTTATGACACTACGTAGTGTTTTTCAGTCAAACTCATATTTAAAAGATATTTTATCCTAGACGTATATTACAGGCTAAAACACTGATACTGCCTTTACACTGGAAAACTTTAAAAATAAGTTTATATGTATTCTAAAACATACTCATAAGTTAACCGATTTAGAACGACAAGTACGTGTATCTAAAGGTGGTAAACTTGTGGTCCGGTGGCTCTTTAGTAAGTTTGAAGGTTTATAACGCTCAAATTCAGTGTTCAATTCATGCAGTAGGCACAGCTCAGAGAACCCATTATGAAGCTTTGTGCTTAAAAAGTTTTACTTGTACTTTCAGCAGGTGGGTATTTATACTGCAACCCTTATATATCAAATAATATAATGACCGTGAGATAACGCTGCAAACATTTAGAAAACTCAAAATAACTATCAAATTATTGTTTCTACTTGATAATGATCGTACAGATAGAAAAGTCACGGAAATCATACTTAAATCAAAACAACATTTAAAATATATTTTTAAGAAACACTAGAGATTAAATATTCATTTGTTAGGTTGCAGAATATTCGTAATAATTTTAAAAGTTGACATTGTTGCTCTAAATGAATTAAACTTGCAAAGAGAAGATATTTTCTTAATTAAATAATCGAAAATTTACATTTTTAGTTTCCGAAACGATCGCCAAGACACACACACACTAAAATACTCTATAGGGAAATACGTCACATCTACGAATAACTGTTCTTAAAGAGAAAAAAGTCAAGTGCTAGCTATTTACATCTTGGTAATGAGTACTCATAGGCCTAACTATGAACAACTATTTTTCTATCGTCTGATCGTTTCCAGCTTTTTTTTTTTCAGTAGGACGTCCAGTATGTTACACCATTTTGATAGAACAAAGGTAAACTACTATTATGCATGCACAATTTGTGAACAAATCTTATTTTTAATGATATCGTATAAATAATGAAGCTTCATTACTTAATAAGGGTTAAGTCCCAATGTTGCAGACAGTGGTGTGATAAGGTATAGGGTGTTCTCTCAAATACTGAATGTCTGATTAAAAAGCAAGATTCTTTACCAAAGATTAAGCCTAACTAGTATTATTTAGGTTTAGGTCTAACTAGTACTATTTGTTACTCTTTTCTTGTGAGTTTTTATAATTTTAAGCAATAGGTCAGTTGAACACAATTTTTATTTATGTTCACAGTCAAATATACATATAGTTATAATGAATTCAAAGACTTTCACAATGGAAATCAAAGTAGGGTTTTATCAGTATACCAGTAATGATATTCTTCTGTGGTTTATACTATTTTTATATTATTTTCTGATTGTAAGGCAGGAAAAATATAAGAATAGAAAACTCACTGACCTTCAGTATATGATTTTATTTATATATAAACGTGTGTAAAGCATTTATTACATTTATCATTTACAAAATACTTTTCTGAGTTCGAGTAAATAACAAGGTTTGTACCTGAGCATTCATATAAAGTAATTGTTCAGTTATTTTTATAGTGGCTCCATCTACGTCATCGTTTCCAAGGAAGCACACGTAGTGTGCCAATTCGTCCATCCACCAAGGGGTTTACAGGAATTCCCAATACCCTCAAAGCCCGAGTCACAAAATATACTCTTATTAATATTGGTGAACAATCCAAGTTCACAGCTCTTCTTTGAAATAAACAAAACAAGAAAAAAAAACTGTTTTTAGTTGACCAAATTTTTGTTTTAAACGAAGTATAAAATATTTAAGAATAAATTATATGACTTATCGACTTTAGAAACTTTAAATAAAGATATAGATTTCAAGCCTTGGAGCCCGTATAAATTAAGAAAAGAGCGCTGATGCTAGACGAAATCATAATTTGCATTAAGCTACAGCATAGTTTCATGCGTTTATAGTCTTCCAGCACCTTTTTTTTTAATTTTGCAGTTGCTAGTACAATAGCAATCCAGTCTTAGGTTATTTTCTGTACACACCAGCTACTCCTATAGGAAGATTGGCAGCACCTCTATTTTTCACGCCATTTTGAGAACTTTGTGCTCCGAAATAGTTTGATGGAGGTCCAGCTACTGGTGGAAATCCTCTTGGAGGTGGTCCATAACTTCTTTGTTGTCCATTACCACCTTCATTTGCAGCTGCTGATCTGATTTTTCCTTCAAAGCCCTCGACGCCGCCTTTCAAAGCTGCCAGCGATATGCCTGCCGGCGAAAATTGTGCTCCTGGACCACGACCTTGTGGTCCACCCTCACCGGCAATGGCACCCAGTGATACTCCTCGTAATCCTTGAATAGCGGATGAGTATGGTGAAGCCTGCTTTGGGAATGAGGCCGGAGGCCTTTGAAGTGGGCCGCCTTGTTGCTGTCCTCCACCATACAGAGATTCCAGATCTGGCCTTCCACCACCAGGGGGACCTCTTGGAGGCTGACCACTGCCAACATTGGGACCTGGCCCTAGGTAAGGGGCATTCCTTTGTAGTTGCTTTTGTAAATCCTGTTGAAGTCCTCCCTCTGCATCACCATATGGAAGCTGACCATCAGGTCTCTGGCCTCCTTGCACTGGTTGTCCAAAGTTTAAATTTTTGGGTCTGCCGTCAGGTCCTATGTTTAACCTACTCTGGAACCCTTCCGGTTGTTTTCCGTATCCATATCCATGTTTAAACTTTGGTTGGGCAAAATAGAACCTAAAAAATCCAGGTGATGGTGGTTTAGGAACTGGAGCTCCTGGTTCTTCCACATCCCCTCCCCTGATGAGACCAGCCAGCAGAACAGTGAGAGCCTGACAATAAAAACAAATTACATACACTCAGGTGGAAAAGATTTGGTTTCATACTATTATTTTATAGATGATTAGAAAAAAAAATAACTTAATGAAGACCAAGGGATAACTAATAGTGATTATCGAAACCTTAAAGACGAAGGGACACTGATAGTGATTATGGAAACCTTAAAGACGAAGGGACACTGATAGTGATTATGGAAACCTTAAAGACGAAGGGACACTGATAGTGATTATGGAAACTTTAAAGACGAAGGGACAACTAATACTGATTATCGAAACCTTAAAGACGAAGGGACAATTACTAGTGATTATCGAAATATTTAAGACGAAGGGACACTAATGGTGATTATGAAAACCTTAAAGACGAAGAAACAACTAATAGCAGCCGAAAGTGACCGTTAAATCTTAAAGAATAAAGGAAAAGTGATTTATTCATAGCAAAAACCGAATTATTTTCAAATTATCCACTAATTTTAGAAACATCAACCCCACCAATTACAAAAATAACCTCTATAATAGACCCTCCAATAACTGTTTTCTAAATACTCACAACTGATTTCAGACACAGCATGTTTGTTGTCTTGTCATTTAATTGGTTTTGTTCCCAAACTACTGCACTGCACTCGTATTTATACGCCACAAAAGTGACAGGTTCCTTGTGTGGTCACTCAGGTTTCTCTGTTGGTGTATACAAGTAGCCACAGGCTACAAAGTACAAAGGCTAGTTACTTTCTCGAAATGTTACTGACTTTAACGTTGCATGATTTTTTTTTTTAGATAAGTAATGATAATGTAGACGAGAAGGCAGTTGTGACTTTTTTCATTCTTAAACTTTCCCAGTTAGCCTCTCACGAGCCAAATTTAGGTTTTACATATTGATATCCCTGTGCCTGTCACTCGCCAACTAAGCTTCATTTAAAACAAGTTTCCGATCCGGCTGATAATTCGGGTCAGCGAGTGTAAGACACCAAACTAATCGCGAGCCCGAGATACCAAGCTGACGAACCTAGTTTACTCAACTCTTATATTTACAGCGTATTAGATATACATACATATTTAATTCCAAGTAAAAACTTGATTTGTTAACCACATATACAGTTTATGATAGAAGAGGCGAAAACGGTTGAGTTAGGACCTGAAACCTAAACAACATTCGCTGTTGAATATTGTGCAGAATTGAAAGACAAATGAAATGGTTGCGTTACAACGTGAAACCTAAGAACAAAGGCGAGGTGACACAGCTCGAAAATAAATTATTGTGAATATCGAACAAAAGCGTTACGATTTATGACTTAACGGTGCGTTTTTTACTTGTATCCCCGATGAAGAAGGGACAACTGACTGTGACTACAAAATCTCTAACGAAGAAGATACAAACAACTGAATCTCTGATAAAAACTAGATACAACTAATCAGAATCCCTGATATAACGGGACACACAAACATATCTTTTTTTAACCCTTAACATCTATGGTGCACGAGTTGCTTTCAGCTGGACTAACAGTGTCCATTTTGGTGGCTTGAAAGCTATATGATGCATTACGAACTGAAACCACGACAAGATACTAATAGGTGGAACGTACAGTTTGTGGTGGATGAAGAGCAGATGTATGAAGGTGTTTTATAAGTGTAATCATGTGTAACGCATGCGCAGTCACAAAATGTGAATAACTAATACAGCGACAGAAAATGTTATGTGCTTTCTGTGGCTAGCAAAGAAAAAATCATTTATTCTATTACAATTACAATATCGTAGTTTTAATACCTTTAATAATAACAGTATCGTAGTGTATATCGTAGTTTTAATACCTCTAATAACAACAGTATCGTAGTGTATATCGTGGTTTTAATACTTCTAATAACAACAGTACCGTAGTGTATATCGTAGTTTTAATACTTCTAATAACAACAGTATCGTAGTGTATATCGTAGTTTTAATACTTTTAATAACAACAGTATCGTAGTGTATATCGTAGTTTTAATACTTCTAATAATAACAGTATCGTAGTTTTAATACTTTAATAACAACAGTATCGTAGTGTATATCGTAGTTTTAATACCTTTAATAACAACAGTATCGTAGTGTATATCGTAGTTTTAATACCTTTAATAACAACAGTATCGTAGTGTATATCGTAGTTTTAATACTTCTAATAATAACAGTATCGTAGTGTATATCGTAGTTTGAATACTTCTAATAATAACAATTTTAAAACCGACAGTTTCAAGAGTTATGTTATACATGAAAGGAGCCGCGATGAGCCGTTTCCCTGGCTCGCACGGTCGCTATACATCACGCTTTTGGGATTTTCTTTTCACGTTATATGAAAGCACCATTTACAGGACAAAGGTAACTGATCCGGAGACACAACGTGAAAGGATGACCAATCGAATAGCCAGTGTGACGTCTGATACGCTGGCCAATACCTGAAAGAAAATCGAATATCAACTCGATATCGTGAGGGCCCAAAAAAAAAAGCACGTGTATAGGTGTACAAACAGTACAGAGTAAAAAACGACACACAATGTGTCCTTCATCTTCCAGGAACAGTAACTGTTACTCTCTTATCATGATTTAAGTTTGTAATAAGTCACATAATATTCTAGCACCCTGTATATACGTGACTAACGTGGAACTTTATACAGAAAGTGGTTTACAACTGTTTCTTCACAAACAAACGACAACAAAAGGTTCTTCTTGAATTATAGTTAATATCATTTTATTCATCTGTTTTTTACTCGCAAAAAGAAGTAATGATATAGACACGGGACACTCAAGTCCCACACTAAGATATAGACACGGGACACTCAAATTAGATCCCGCACTATGATATAAACACTCAAAAAAGATCCCACACTATGATATGGACACGGGACACTCAAAATAAATCCTGCAATATGATATAGATACGGGATCCTCAAATCCCTCATTATGATATGGAAAAGGGATCCTCAAATCCACACTATGATATAGACACGGGACACTCAAATCTCACACTATGATATAGACACGGGACACTGAAATCCACACTATGATATAGACACGAGATCCTCAAATCCCACACTATGATATAGACACGGGACATTCAAATCCCACACTATGATATAGACACGAGATTCTCAAGTCCACACTATGATATAGACACGGGATCCTCAAGTCCATACTATGATATAGACACGAGATCCTCAAGTCCACACTATGATATAGACACGGGACATTCAAATCCCACACTATGATATAGACACGGGATCCTCAAGTCCATACTATGAAAGTCCCACACTATGATATAGACACGGGATCCTCAAATCCCACACTATGATATAGACACGGGACATTCAAATCCCACACTATGATATAGACACGGGATCCTCAAGTCCACACTATGATATAGACACGGGATCCTCAAATCCCACACTATGATATAGACGCGTGACACTCAAATCCCACAGAGTATGTTGTGCTAACTTAAGTACTGAGAGCACCGATGTACAATATTTCGGCCAGTTCGGGGTGTGGCCCTATGGCTAGCGTGACCGAATTGTGATTCAATTCAAGAGCTCATGTTTCGCGTCTCGTTGTCATAAAACATGTTTCGCATTTTGGAGCTGCGGGTGTGCTTTAAGCGAAGAATGTGGTAGCGATAGTCGTTGTTGTCTAGCTATCTTCTTTCTAGCGTATCAGTTTAAAATTATAGATGGCTGTGTACATACACCTCCTCAAATGACTCATTGATTATAGTAAGTTTGGTGTATGCAGCACGAGCCTTTAATTCTACAGTTTGCGGCATCAATGAAGCTTATATTAGGATCACTTCAAATTTAAAATGTCGTGATTTTTCTTCTCGTCCCATCTTCTTACTTATCTGATTACTGAAGGATACTTGCTTTTATGTTGTGTTTTTTTTTCTTACACCCTCAAGAACCTTGAATTCATAAACCAAATTTATAGAATTTATTTACAACGAACCCATACCTTTAGACGGCGCCACTAATTATGTACAATACAAATGTTCTATTGTAAAACTAAGTATTACTGTCAAGTAGAAAACTCAAAATCAAATATCTACAATCAGAATGATAAAAAAGTAGTTTTATTATTTACATATGGCTTTGAAATATAATACAGGACAGGTTGTATTGAACTGAATCCTTCCGTCAGTGCTATGAAATACAAAGCATGCAGTGGGCTGAGTCCATAGAAAATATATTAAAGGTGATTAGACACACAGTTGATAACAAAATAGTTTTTGACCAACTGGAAATCTCTGGAATTATTATTCACACCCTAAATTACCAGCTGTTCGTTACTAGAAAAAACCTAGTTATTCCTAAACCTATTTATATATACATTTGTTTTGTTGCATGACAGGTTAACAATAATAAAAAAGAAAACCTTCAGACCATATCGGTTTTCAAGATAGCTTTGGACTATTGTATGTTTTATGCACAGTGCAACATTACTATCAATAAAAGGTAAGACCATAAATTTCACACACACACACACATATATATATGTATGTATGTATGTGTACAAATAGATTTGTATATAAACAAGTAATAGAATTCCTTTCCGTCTTCAAGGTATAAGTACGGTATAAATCGTTATTTGAAGCCTCCATCAGGTGACGAGTTATATGACTAAGTTTCAAAAATAGGGTGATCTTTGTGAATGACCTCGGTTACCATCTTCATCATACTGAATGGCGGGAAACCGCTGGGGTCTTATATATTTTAATGACGAGAAAGGACTGTTGGCTGGGCTACTTTGAAAAAACTCTGGTCTGTTTGGAAAGGAAGGACGATCTCCTGGTCCATATTGATTATTTTTTTGTGTAAAAAAGCTATTATCTTGTTTGAAGGAAATGGGTTTTGTTTTTTTGGATGAAGTTGGACGGTAACCAGAAGAGGTTCTCACAGGAAATTGTGACTTTCCACTTTGAGTCGGTTCAGAAGGTCCACTATATAAGTTGACATTTGCCCCATTCGAACCAGTAAGTCCAGAATATGAAAGTAATGGCTGGGAGAAAGTCCGTGGAGGCCTATACCCTGACTTAGACAAAGATTGAGGTTCTGGTGCTCCGTATCCTGGAAGCTGTACCGTAGGGCGAGGAAGTTGGGAAAGATAAGAGGGTCCAAAATCTTGTTGACCCCTGTAAGGTCTGGATGACTGCACTGGCACCAACACTACGGTTCGATGTCCCTGACCACGAGGAAGGTAGCCAGCTGGGACTGTAGAAGTTGAGTAGCTAGGAGGAGATGGAGGATTCAAGGAGCCAGATGGGACTGGAGCAGAGGAGTAATCGGGTTGAACAGGAGCAGATGGAAAACCAGGCTTAACTGGAGCACGTAAGTAACCAGGTCGAGTAGGAGCAGATGGAAAATCAGGCTTAATTGGAGCAGGTAAGTAACCAGGCCGAGTAGGAGCAGATGGAAAATCAGGCTTAACTGGAGCAGGTAAGTAACCAGGTCGAGTAGGAGCAGATGAATAGCTAGGTGAGGCTGGTGCATAAGAGTATCTGGGTGGAGGTGGAGCAGAGGAGTAGCTGGGTGGAGGTGGAGCAGGTAAGTATCTACTTGGAGCTAATGGACGTCTTGGAGTCTGAACTGGAGTTGAGATTCTACCCGGGGCTAGAGGTTTGGACTTCAATCCTTCACCATATCCATTTGATTGTTGTCCTAAAACAAAGTAGGACCGCACTTGTCCAACCCCTCCATAATTTGGTTTTATTTGAGACCCTTGAGTCAGACGACCATAGGTTTGTTTTTTAGAGTCGGATGAACTTGTTTCGATATTCTCAGAAGATTCAGGCTCGATTCCCGAAACTTTGTCTTCTACAGTTAACGTTCTAACTGTTTGTAAAAGGAACAGTGTCAGAACGATCAGCACCTGTGGACCGAATTAAATGTTTATTAATATCAGGCGAAGGAGAAACCTTGTACGACAAACTGTAAATTAAACACGGTTAGAATTCTAGCCGTGTTTAACTTTTTAGTTTTTATTATAGATAAAATCAACAATTTTATTTCCGTGTCATCATAATATTTTTTATAAAAATTCACAGTAAGAGAGAGTTTCATTATTTTATCATGCAGTAAACTCATTTTTCCGTCGGAAATCGTATATTATTGTGGGGATTAAACTAAAAATTATCATGTAATTAATCATTTTGATTTTTACCTCTATTTCTTTCAAATATTTCATTGAAAACAAAAATTGACAAATTAATGTATTTCGTTTAAACTAAGGCTAACCAACTGATCTGCTTTCTTCACGTACAATTAGACCTGTAGTTTGTGATTAGATTCGGATTACCACTGATTTCATAAAGTTCGACAGTTTAGGCCTAAATAGATAGGAAAGTTTAATATTCTCTCTCTCTCCGTGAAATGAAACGGAATTAGGCCTTATAAATGATCGTCATTATAGTATTGCTAAGAAGATGATCCTTATAATATTAACAGGTATAAAGGACAGGAATATATTGTTTCTTTCCAAACAAGGACTTACTTTCCAAGATATCATCCTGTCTTCTGTTGTCCACGTTCAACTCACGGAAATTGGGAAGACCCCGTTCTTCTTCTACTTATATACTGTAAGCTTACCGTTCATCGTTAGGATATTGCACTTTGCTTCGTCTGGTAGTAAAAAGAATCAGGTCAGTAGGCCCTTAGAGGTCTAGGACACGTTTGGCGTTAAATCAGGTGCATCGTGGAATAGCTAACGTTAGTTTTTATATATACACGTAGTTAGAAGCTGCAGTCGACGTTCGCCTTAATTTGGGTAAGAGTCGAAAATCGGCTGCTGAAAATCTCGAAGGAAAACCGTAACACTTCAGGTTATCGTGTGAATGTTTGATAGAAACACCGGCTTTGTTTTGAACTCGCAGGAAGAACTTCTCGTGAAAATTAGGTCGTTTACAATAGAAAATCGATAAGCTCTAGCGTCCTTCCAATATCCCGTGCCAAACACCTTTTAAAGTTTCAATCTTGTTTGGAAAAAAACTCGTTAGCCTAAAGCCGCAAAACTTTGTATCAAATTATTGTAAGCCATCACTGCCCTCTGGAAGCGACTATTAGAGAATGAATTCAATAAAAAGATTTTAATTTGTTTTTTTTTTTCATCATATTTCTGACTATTATATTTTAATAGGTTCAAGTTACTACGTGTTCCAGAGCCGTGATCTAATTATAAATAGTTACTTGAGATAAGCTTGAATGAAGATGAACTCATTTAGTTGGTATACACCTATTTATACTAACGCAGGAAGTGTCAAGCACATTGCTGGTTTTCCTTTAACAACAAAACATACTGGTTTTTTTGTCTTCAATTGAAACAAAAATTTGTAAAGAACTTCAACTACTGTCGTTATTAACTTGAAAGAGGAGTGCAAGAGTAATATACTCACAATTTACAAGAAGGAAAAACAATACATGTAAACTTAAATAGATAGATAACATAAAATGTAGGTCAGATGCTCAGCCCATTTATCGTTCATTTTCGAATGAAAAAATCTGTAGGCAACTTATTTGTTTAAAAATGTCTATCACGGTGCCATGTATACATTAGTGAAATACCTTCACTTGTAATGCACTAGTTTTATTTTCTCTCTCTTTTTTTTAAGGTGCGTTGGTAAAATTTACAAAAACTACTTTAAGCGGATTGCTTCAAAATGCAATGTGTAATAATAGAATCAATATAAAAATGGCCATGTAACGTTTCGACCTTCTATTTAGGTCATCATCAGACATGATAAAATAACGATAATTTGACACATTCGAGAATAAAATTAAAATAATGTTCTAGTCGCGTGAAGCGAGAACAACAATAAAATTAAACAACATTTTTGGTTTTGTTAGTATTATATATATGTATTATTTTATTTTATAAACATCCTATTTATAAAGTGATTTCTTATAAATTCCTTTTTGTGCTTTATAAGTTGCTTTAAAACAAGTTAAGTATATTAAAATACTGTTGTATTTAAAACAAGGGACATTTGTTTTATGGATAGAGACTTTCTTTGATTAACAGTTCAGGGTTGGAATTACCATCACAAAGAATTAGTTATCGGATATCCAGTTTCATCTCTGTGGTTCAGGATCGCCGAATTGGGTGGACTTAAAAGGATGTTACCTGACCTCAGTGATGCTTTCATGCTCGTAGATTTGAACGGCAAAATATCATTTAGTTTTCCCCATATAGGGGGCCTTGAAGTCACAACACATGTAATTATATAGCAACCAGGAGCGAAGAGAGATAGGTAGATGTTCCTTTGTGTTAAAGAGATGTTTTAACCTAAAGGATGATTTGAAAATGATGTTAAGTTTGACCTGTGGGTAGAACTTCTTTATTGAAGATCTAAGTTGTTTAGCAAGTATTACACTTTGTTGTTCTAGGTAAGGGATGGTCAATGAAATTGTAAACATTTTTATGGGAGTTTCAAATTTTTTGTTAAGATATTTTAGGATATTTCTTGATTTGTTTTAAAGAAGCTTACATTAGAAGAAAAGGAATTTATAAAAAACACTTTATAAATAGGATGTTTATCAAAATATATATATAATAACAACAAAGCAAAAACTGTAAATGTTTTTAATCTTATTTCTTCGTCCCCATAGATCCTCTCGAGGTAGATTCCTGCACGTGGTGAGGGGACCTCCGGGGGAAGGTTCTGTATTTTCAGTTACTTCCTCTGGGATCTAAGCATCCACCCACACGTTTCACCTGCGTGGCGACCCGTGAAAGGGAGGAGAGGATCCTGTTGGTTTAGTGGTGTCTGGGGCACTGCAACACACCACTTTGGCCTTGAATTCCCGTAGACGGGTGATCCCATAGGGTCATTTGGCTGGTCCTGTTGAGCTAGGGTCAACTGAGTACCAGTGTTGGGCGTTCTCAACGGGTGTTGTGGACATTGCTAGTTGTTGGGTATAGTTTTCACGAAACCCTGACGTTGCTGCAGTGTTCTAGTTTGACATTGTAGTGCCTCGTAGGACTCCATGGTGGGTGGGGTCAGTGAGCTCTGAATCTCCCTCTTTTTTATTATAGATCCTCCAAATCTTAAAAAGCAAAATCGAAAAACTCTGCTCATTGATAAACGACCACGCTTTGAAGACTCCAAACAGCAGTCTTCACCACATTGTGCACCTGTACCTCGTTTCCAAATCCTGCATTCACTGTCTGATAAATATTTAGGGCGAATGTCTCCCTTTTTCATTCAAAAGGGATTAGAGGGGCTTGCTGGCTCTCCAAAGTCAGTTAAGAAACTTCGTTCTGGAGACATCTTGGTTGAAACATCCATAGCTAAACACAGTGAATATATACTCATTGTGGTTACTTCCCATGCTTCTTTTAATTCCTCACGAGGAGTCATTGTTGAGAGGGACTTGAAGAACATCCCAGGGTCAGAGATCCTTGCTGGTTTCTCCACCCAAGGAGTTTCTGTGATGCGTCATATCTCTACTCGTAAAGACGGAGTTATGCTGCCTACCAATGTTCTCATTTTGACGTTTTCATCGCCACGTCCACCTGCCGCTGGCAAAGCAGGTTATTTGAA